CCCCCCCCCCCCGCCGGTTCGCCCGCGCCGAGCCATCCGAGTGTACGTACACCACACACTGCTGCTGCGAGTTCGGCCGCGGCCGCAGCGACATGCAAGTCGCCGATTAGTGCATTTCCAGCCACGTTTTCGCGGAATCCTTTTGAATCCAGTTCCGAAAAGTCCTTTTCTTTCCATTTTCCCGGAAGATCGCGCGCTTTCCGCGGGCTTTCCACCGGCTTTCCGCGCAGAAAGCAGCAGACCCGGGGGTCGTCGGCGCCCGCGGGCCGCGCCGCCCCAACCCCTCCTTCCCGACTCGAACTTGAATATTTCGAAAATGAATTTCGAAGAAGACAGAGCTTCAGAGCACCGCCACAGCCGCAGCGGGAACGACGCCGAGGCCCTCAAAGCCAAAAAGGCGGCGCTGCAGTACTTCATGAACAAGGCGCCCCCGGGCGCCCTGGGGGAGGTCATGGAGAGTAAGCCGCAGCAGCAGCAGCAGCAGCAGCGCGACAGGCGCTGCTGCTGCGACAATTCCGCGTAGCCCCTAACCCACGAAGACACCTGCGCATGCAACTTGCAGCCCCAGCGATCCTGCTGCTCCTGGCTTCAAGCAGCAGCAGCAGCAGCACTCACGCAGGCTTCCCTCCAACTCCCTTTCTCTCCAAGCTTGCACCCTGCTTCCTGCTGCTGCTGCTGCTGCAGCCTGTGAGCTGCTGCTCGACACTGCTTCTGTGTCCAGTCGCTTTATGGTGGAGACACTCGAGCAGTCTGCTGCGCTGCAGCGGCAGCTGCTTTCCTTTTCTTTGAATTCTTTTTCTTACGAGGTAAGAAGGCTTTGCTGCAGCACTCAATCGCAGCAGCAGCAGCTGAATAGCAGCAGCAGCAGCAGCAGCGCCAGCTATAGCGGCTGCATTGGCACTTGCAGCAGCAGCGCCAACACTACCAGCAGCAGCAGCAGCAACAGGAGCAGCACAGCAGCAACCAGGCAAGCAGCAGCAGCAGCAGCAGCAGCAGAGTTTATTTGATCAAATTAAAGCATTTGCTGCTGCAGGCGATAATCTGCGCAGCAGCAAAAATAGGCCCCTCGCTGTACCTACACCCCAGGACGAAGCAGCGGCTGCTGCTGGCAGCAAATGACACAGTGAGCCAAACCCTATTATTTGCTGCTGCTGCTGCTGCTGCTGCTGCTAGTGTTGCTACTGCTTATCTACGGCTAGTGCTGCTGCTGCTGCTGTAGCTATGGCTGGCGCTGCTGCTTTTACCGGCGCTGCTGTTTTTCTTGCTGCTGCTGCCTAGCTTTCTGCTGCTGCTGCTAGCTTTCTGCTGCTGCTGCATCTGTCGCTATTGCTGCTGTTGCTGCTGCTATTCGTCCTGCTGCTTCTGCTGCTGCCCGTCACATCTCTGCCGTTGCTGCTGCCTCGTCTCTTTTTGCTGCTGCTGGAAGTCCCTTTGCTGCTGCTGCTTCTGCTGCTGCTGCGCAGGAGCTGGAGGTGGCTCATTTGAGTGCTGCAGGATCAGAGTACTTTCCTGCTACTGTCGAGCAGTACAGGTGCAGCAGCAGCAGCAGCAGCAGCAGCACGTTTGAAGGATTAAAACAATTAATTGAATTTGACTTATTTCCTTCTAATAATGCAATTCGACTAGTTGTTTGTTGTTTATTTTATTCATTTGTTATTTAATTTATTTAAAAGTGGTAAATCATTTACAAACAAAAGCTGTACAGACACCTGAAACCCCACACTTTCTCTTTGCTGCTCCAGAGAGGCCCTCGA